TCACAACTTGAGCTGATTATTCCATGTTCTAAATTCTGGTATCAGCAAGAAGAGAGCTTGACCTTCCTCTTTGTGACAGCCTTTCAGGTACTTATAAAAGTGATATCATGCCCCCCCCCCCTCAGTCTTCTCTTCTCAAGGCTGAACATATCCAGTTCTCCCAGTCTCTCCTCATAGGGCAGTATTTCCAAACCCTGGATCATTTTTGTTGTCCTACTTTGGACCCTTCCTATTTTTTCTGCATCTTTCTTAAACCTTGTTATCCAGAACTCGACTCAGTATTCCAGATGAGGTCTAACTGGAGAAGAGTATCGGGGAACTATTACTTCTCATGATTTGGAAGTAATACTTCTGTTAATGCTTCCCTAAATAGCATTTGCCCTTTTTGTAACTGCATCACATTGTGAGCTGCTGTCCACAATATTTAGCCTGCTGTCCACAGTAACTCTGAAGTCTTTTTTTCCAGTTCTGTTGAGCTACTTATTCTCCATCTTGTATCAATGCATTCCCCCCTCCCCCAGGTTGAAGATTTGACATTTGTCCCTATTGAATCTCATTGTCTTGCTTTCAGCCTAGTGTTCAAGTTTATCAAGATTTCCTGGGATCTACATACTGTCTTTCAGGTGTTTGCTATTCCAGCCTGTTTAGTATCATCTGCAAATCTGATTATTGTTTCTTGTACTTCCTCATCTAAATCATTGGTAAAGACATTGAACAGCACAGAGGCCCAGGACTGAACCCTGCAGCACCCCACTAGTTACCTTTTTCCAGTTTGAGAAAGTGCCACTGAGGAACACACTTTGTGTTCAATTTAGCAGCCAATTTTGGATCCACCTAATGTTTTTTCTATCTAGTCCACCTTTTGCTAGTCTGTTTATCAGGATGTCATAGTGCACTATTTTGAAAACTTTGCTAAAGTTATGGTAAATTATGTTCAAAGTGTTTCTGTTGCCCATTTGGGAATTTATCCAATCAAAAATGAGATTAAATTAATCTAACATAATTTATTCTTGATAATCCACGTTGGCTTTTATTAATCACTGCATTTTCTTCAAGATGCTTACAGACTGTTTTTGTAATAATTTGCTCCTGAATTTTTCCAGGCTCATATCAGACTAACTGGTCTGTAGTTCCCAAGATCATTTGTTTCCCCTTTTCTGAAGATGGGGACAATTTTAGACCTTCTCCAGTCATCTGGCACTTATGTTCTCCATGGTTTATCAAAGATAATAGATAGTGGTTCTGAGAGTTCCTCCACTAGCTCTTTTATGCTTCTGGGATTGAGTTCATTGGGCCCTGAAGATTTGAACATGTTTATTCCATCTGAATATTTCTTGACTATTTGCCTGTTGATCTTAAAGCTCTTACTGCTTCCAAAGAGGTATTTCAGCCATTTAAAATGGGGGTGGCAGTACAGTCCAAAAGCAGAGTTGCCACTAAATGAGCAGTGGTCCAGAGGAAGGGGTGGGGCCATGTGGGATTCACTGTAGTTAAATATGGTGACTTGGCTGCAGGTCCTTTTGCTAATAAATAAAAGGACACAGAGATCTATTGGTCTGGTAACCTGGGCTTCATCCCATCATTCCTGCCCATGCATCGCAAGTACACGTTCTGAGCTGTCGGCTACCAAAAAAGGCTTTGATGTTCATCTAGTAGGTGAAAGATTCCAGGGTGTCAGGGCTTGCAGCCTTAACAGGCAGTTACTCAATAGACTGAGGACCAATGATGTTTTCAACTTTTGAACAGGTGGTCTTGAGCATAAATGGCCAGCTACATGGATATTTGGTTTGCCTTTGTTAAGTCCATGTGCTTATAAATAGTAGTATATCGGGTATTATATAAAATAAGGAGTATACATTGCTTCAATATGTATCAATATAATTGTTCTATTAAAATTTCATGTATGAAGACAAATACTTCCTTTGATTTAAATTTGCCAAACAATAGTCATTTACCTGCTGCACTGTGATAATATCATTAGAGGGCAGTACAGCTTTGTGCGTGTGCTCCTTGTCTTCATTTAGCTTGCTTCATTGTACTTCTAAGGCTGCAGATTTCAAAGATCTATCATTATCTCATTCCAGCTTGCTCCAGTTTTCCCAGATGCTGGGGCAGTGTCCTACACAATTGTTTGGAGAGATGGAGAGGAGCTCAGGCACTTCTTCCTAGTGGAAGGCAGAGTGAAATTATGAAGGAAGGGGTCAGTTTGTCCTTCAGACCAAGCGGAAGCCTCTTAGTTTCAGCTCTTTCTTAAGCAAAGGTCAAGCCAGCATAACAACAAAGCTAACAGAACTGAACCTGGAGAAAGAGGTCCTTCCTGGGATGTTTCCTAACTACCTTCCCCCTGAGTATGCACCTGCAAGTACTGCCCAAGCAAAAATGCTCATCTGGATGCAAGGCTCTCCCTTGGCTAACTTTCAGAACAGGAGTTTATGGCAACTCAAAATTTCCCTTTCTCCTTGAGGTGGTTAGCAGACCTTCTGCAGAAGGTGTGGCTGGAGTTACTTTGTACTCTGTGGAACTAACATAAAGATGTTGGGCTAACAACCTTCTTCGAACGGAAATCCATGTTGGCTCTCAGACTCGTCTGGACTGATGAAATAGCCTTTAAAATTAAGATTCTAAAATGTGAGCTCCTTAAGAAAGGTCAAAGGAGGGCTGCATAACTTCAGTAAGCACCAGTAAGCAAAGTTCAGTTATGAACTTTGTAATGAACTCCTTTCATGAATCTATGAATGTGGGAATGCTGATCAGTTGCTGCAGGGTTGTACACATATCCGTTGACACTTGTAGTGGGTCCACCGGGGTACTTCTGACTTTGGTCAGTGACCTGGATGATCTATGCCTTGAGAAACTGGCTGAGCCACTTCTTACCCGTCATTAGTTTTCTTCTCACACCTAGGCATTTTTGGAGACCTGGATCTCCTTGTCATGCACTTCCCTTTCATTCTGTTGCGGATGCATAATGCTTCAAGCAAAACCAAAGAAATGCCATGAAGCTAAATTGTGCTGTAAGGTATATAATAAGTTTGTATCCTATCAACACAGCTGCTTGTAAGTTATGACAACCCACCAGTTTAAGAATGGCAACATTTCAGAGCACAATGCACAAAAATAGGTTGTGAAGAATGATGTGTGCACACAGACAGCTTGGCTGTTTAGGGGCTAAACAACCCAGCTGGGAATCCAACAGCAACCTACAGCCTTCTCTCAATTAAACAGTGCTGTGTAACATCACAAGCCAAGTATCTTCAGGGAACTGCAATTAGGCAGGTGTCAAATACCATGTTGCCAAATATCATACATCCCAGGCATTATATATCCCTTGACCAAGATGTGGAAAGAGGAAAATTAATAGTTTTAATTCTTCAAATTCAATAGTAAGGGAAATAGTATGGGAAAAAGGGACTGATATATGAATATGAGTATCAATAGGCTTAACACATCCCTTTGGGACTTGTTTAATGAAATAGATGCCTGGAGTGCAAAACATCTTCTGTCTGAATTTCTACTGGCCAAATTTCATTTTGGAGAAGCTCTCAGGGACCACTTTTTATACTAGTTGGCTGGGCCGAAGGCTAAAGGAGGTAGGGCCAAATATGCCAATATATTTTGGCTTGCAGTTCTTATTGCTATTTGCTAAGTCCTAGGAGAGGTACGAGTTCAACCTTTTAGAATGTGCAACAGCTGGAATTCTCTATGGAGAATTCTTCAGATGGCCACACCCCCTCCACTTGGCCCCACCTCCCTGGGGAGACCTCAGGTAAGCTGAGTTTGGGCTTCTAAATTGGAGGTTCTGCATCTCTGCTTTAACAGAGGTAAAACATGGGAGAGTTGATGTGGTGAGACTGAGGAGATGGATAATGAATGGGAGGCTAATGCAACATGAAGATATAATTAAGTCAAAATAGATTATACAAAAATAAAAATAACCAAATAGTTTATTGGGTGCAGAATACATTGGGGGCTAGAAGATTATGTGAAATCTAAATATGAAACTTTAATATGGGAACCTGATAAAAAGAAATTATCAAACTCCTATCCAATGGTAGGAGTCAAGAATAAACAAACATGAACAGTATGTGGAGAATAAAGAAATTTATAGGAGCATATAGGAAGTGACAAGCAAAATTCCAAGGCGGCACATAAAAGGCTATCTCCTTATGTTAATTTGATAAACAGTCATTTCAATGTAAGTGTAAGATGGAATGGTACCTTGGCAATGTAACACACAGGCGTTCTCTCTGTGTTGGAAGTGTGATCATGGCAAGGCATTTTGTCAAGTGGTTGTAGCTGCAGTACCCCTTTGGGATTCTATTTTTCCCTACCCTACCAGGACATACTTTAGTCTGGCATAGAGGCCCCTTTGCTGCTACTGAAGAACTGCAAGGAGGTAAGAGACAAGTCTGTATCCAGTAGGTCAAGCATTCCACCATCTACAGTAGTTACCTTTAGTTAAACATTTTACAGGTTCCCCAGCTACAAGTATCCAATCACAGCCAGGTGGTAAAAAGGTCAATGGAGAAGTCAGCTGGAAAAAGAGAGGCAGACAACAGAACCATAATGGTGTTTTCATCATGGTAATGCTATCTGACATAAGGGGATGTGGACAAGGGGATGAAAACACTTGACAATCAGAAAACTCATGACAGAATCCAAACTGTAAAGGTTAATAGCCCATTCACATTGGTGTATGTGATTTCCCAAACTCCCCAGCAGTGAGTGCTGCTATCCCAAAGCCTAAAGAGGAATTTCTATTAATAATTAACCCTCTTATATCTTCTTAAAGTAACAGGAGCAGGGAACTTGATCAATGAGGAGGAGTAACCCCATTTTGGGAGGAAATATTTGCTTATGTATAGAACCACTAATTCATGTATGTGTACCTTCCATACGCTTGGCACTCATACAACTACTCTCCAACCGATGTCACACATAGAGGTCCCATTTCCATTGTGAAAAATAGTGGAAAGCAGATTAGAAATCCCAGTTTGCAGAAATAGATTTATAAAATTCATATCTTTATTAGAATGTGAATAGAGGTGATATGTCAAAGAGCAGAGAAAGTGACTATACAAAGATTTTATAGAATGTTCATTTACATACCGGATACTTTATAATACAAATTTTGAGCGAAAAGCAAAAAAAATCACTAATATATAAGGCAGATAAGAAAAATTAAAAATAAACTGATGGTCGAATGAACAGGAACTCTTTTACTATAAAAACAAACATGGTGCAATCAAGAGGGCACAGCTTACGAGCTGTTCCTGCACCAGCTCCTCTGAACTTAATGGCAGGAGCTGCGCAGGAACGATGCCCCGGGAAAGGCACGCGTGAGCTTAGAGCCTCGGCTTTAATACTGCAGGGATTACAGTAGTACAGTGAACAAGAGGTTAGGGGGAGCTTGGCTAAATAGGTGGCAACTTGCTGGTATTATTCTTGAGACTGAACACAAACAATTAACATAATCGTGTGTGGGGAAGTGCTCTCTGTACCACTAAGACCTCTAATTTCCATAGAGGAAATGTGAATGTGTACTTGTGTATAGGAAACTAGCATTATGTCCTGTGCTTCATTTGATTCGGGGGCATTTCATACAGAAAAACGGAGCTCATGATATGATGCCAGCTGAAGTTTCTCCAAGTTCATATTTCTATTGACTACTGAACAGCAAGTTTCCCAACTCTTACCCCTGTGGTGTTTCCCCAAAAGCTAAATGAACTGCTCAAAAGGAAGGTGAATGACCATGTTGCCCAACAGGTGAAGAGATGCTCCATAAAATTCATTTTTTTTAATCTTGCAGAAGAGGTAAAATATACAGAATAGAGGACAGGTTCCTCCTGGCTGCTAATTAATTATTTTTTATCTCAACTTTCCACTAAAATGGTGCTAAAGACAGGCAGGGGAAGAACATCCAGATTCATCAGGGAAAACCTGGGATTATCCAACAGTTCCATGCATTGGCAATCTCACAGATTATGTTCCTCTCCTTTAAACTGATCCCCAGGAGCCATCAAGGACTTTAGATAATTGGGGAATAAGATATTAAGAAGAATGAAAGATTCAGTGCAATGAGGCACTTGCCCTGGTTGCTTCAATGGTAGCTATGCTACTGATGCTCAAGCTATGTACAAAAATGATCAACATTATTACTATTACATCTGGTCCAAAAATATGTTCATAACCTTTAGCCATTTTCTCACTACCTCCCTAAACCAAAGAAAGTAATTACAGTCTTAAGGTTACAAGCACACTGACAACCCCTTGCTCCCTGGAACAACACAACAAATCTTTCTTGTGGCAGCTTCAAAGTTTTGTATTAATTCTGTTGTTTCTGTTGCCACAGACTTTACATGGCTACTGCTTGGAGAAAGCAGTTCTTGTGAATTCCTGGCACTTTCTCTTATCCAGTCTGAACATATAGTTTGAGAGGCACTCTTTCAATGCAGACAAATAAGTATTGCATCAACCCAATGCTTGATAAAACCACATATACATAAACTACATGGGCCTCATCAGACATTTTGCTATATTGACATTTTTGTTTAATTATGCAGTTTGGACATTTCTGATAAAAGGTTTGAGCCCATTTGCAATAATATTCTAATCATCTTTTTCCTCTGACCCCAAGGCCTTCTTCCCTTGTTCCCACAGGCACTGAGTGACTTGCAGTGTTTAATATGGTAGGAAAGACCTCCACTAGCCTTCCCCAGCCTAGTGGCCTCCAGCTTTCACTTATCCCAACCAGGGCAGCCATGTGTGATCCAGAGAGTGCTAGCCCAGCAAAAGCATCTACATGATTGGTACCACTTGTATGGCTAAGTATTCACATATATTATGTAGTGTAAAACCAACACAGCTGAATTTGGGTGTGAAAGGGTCTCCCAGAAATATCACAAGCTAGCTACTGTTATACGTATGCCATAAAAGCCAACCATAAAAAACATCCACATTACATTATCCTGCACTGGACTGCTTGGCCACATGATGAGTCGAGAGTATCCAATCAGGATAAGAGAATTTGCAAACTATGGGTAAGTGCACGAAAACATAAGCTCTTTTTCCCCTTAAGATTTGTATTTATTTATTCCAGATTTTAAAAATAAAAATCAGTTTTAAAACCATCCATACAAACTGGATTTCAAAATCAAGCTATAGTCATGTCGCTGCTTTAAGAAACAGAAAATGATATTAAAGTCTTCTTACTGAGGAAGGAAGCTAGGCTACTTTCAAAGCCACAATGTGGAATGCTACCTCCAACATTAGGGCACACGCAAGCCATCCTGTATAGCAGCAGGAAGCTACCCTCCATGTTTCGGACTGCCATCCCCTCAGACCCACCCAGCATAGCCAATGCTGAAGGACTGTAGTCCAAAGCAGCTGCAGGGCACCAAGTTGCCTAACACTGTTATGAACGAATGGAAAACTGTATGTGGGAGGCATTGCAGCACAGCCTCATTCATTCTGGGATTTCTACAGCTCTTTTGCAAGCTCTGTTGAAATGAGTGGAACCTGCATGAAAGATGCCCTCTAAGTAAACTCAACAATATGTCCCAAATCAGACTTTTCTGCAACAGACTGAGACTTGTTTTACACTATAAATAATCTGACATAAGCAAATAATATATTATAATTTATACAAACCTTTCTCATGTGCTTTCCCCCTCATTTTTACCCTGCAATCATTAAAAAGCACCTTCCCTGCTTAAATTCTTCATTTAAAAAGCAACATAAAAATAACATTCCAAATGTTCACCGCCTCACATTTTTCCTTTTAACTAGCTTCTGCCCCACTTCCCTTCCAACAAGTTAAAAGATACACATTCTCCTTTAGACTACATGCGCTAGGCAACCTCTAGAAACCTTTCTCTCTCTCTGCACTTTCCATAAAAAACCTGCACCACTCTCTTCTAAACATACATATTTCCATTTTGAGTTTGATTTCCATCATTGCTTCATAAAAACAAAGGGAAGAACAAAAGGTCATAGCCGATTTGCTTGGGCCATGGCTACCATCAATGCAACTATAGCAAATGTCAAGCAGGGCATGCTTGCACAGAAGAGGAGAGAAGACTGCTTAACATAACCCTTTCAGATGACCACCATTTATCTTTACAAATGCACTAAGAAGTTTTTCCCCCTCTTGAACTTGGCTTTTGATGTCAGAAACCAGGTGGAGGAAAAACTTGAAGAGCAGACTCAAGGGGGTGTTTGCAAGGGAGAATTATGGGTAACAGAAAAATTTGCTTACTCTCCTTCTACCTGCTGATGAACTCCCTTCAAATCTCCTCCACTTCCATGGAAATCTGATAACACTCTCATGTGTTGGCCTATTCTCAGAGCATATGTGAATTTATAGCAAGGGCAACACATAAAGCTGGAATGAATGCCCTCCTTCCCACCTCTCCTTTTCCCCACAAGACAGCTAAAAACTGCACAAAGAACACATTTTCATTTAATTCCCCTGCCAAATTTTGTCTTCCAAGATTAGTTCAGAAAGAAGTATTCAGGATCTTGCTGGCTTCCAATTCCCTTTGCTTAAAGCTGCAGGTGGATGTCAACACTTTTCACACAGTCAGCTGACTTTATTGAAGCATGGGTGGCAGGCCTTGGATTGCTGCGCAGATGGGAAGTCCTCCTGGGGAACAGGCAGATGCCGGCCACGCAACTGCTATCTCAAGATCATCACCGCCTTCCTGCAAGTTCACACTCAGAGGCTTTCAGTTCTTCTTTTGGGAGCCTATCATGACCTTTGAAACAAAGTTTACAATGGCACTAGCAGGCTGCTCAGGATCGTGTTCTGCAAAGAGGTGGCACACGTTGTCTGTGGCACTACCTTGTTTCCTTGCAACAAACCCAAACACCCTGCAGAAAGCAGAAATAAAGCAGAACAGAAAGTGTGCATTACGGAACCAAGAAGTGCCATGTTGTAACACAAGTAATGGGTTGCTTTGGAAGGCAACATCATTGACTGGGCCAGTGATTTGCCAGCAGTGTTCCAGGTCCCTTGGAAGAAGTTCCTTGGCAAGAAGAAAAGGACTAATGAACACAGTTCACCGAAAGGCAGGTTGCTCACCGCCACCAGCCCTCCCCTGGAATCACAGCCACAAGAGAGCTGGATCTGCTCTGCTGTGCACTTTTTGTTCGCTCAAGCCAATGAAGTGGTTTCATGTTTTAAGGTAACTTCTGTGCTTTATGGTCAGTGTCCCCAGCAAATGGGGTGTGCATCCTAAAACTGAATACTGGCCTCAGAGGCATGTTGTTGTTGATGATGATGATGATAAAGACCAAATGTTTTATTTGGCTTTGTAATTTTTTTAAACTTAGAATAAGGACAGTAAAATGTATAAAGAATAACAAAACCCTTTTACAACAAACTGGTGATGAAGCAGGCAAGTCAATATGAAAGGGGTCGCATGACGATGGAAAGGTTTGAAAACTACTAGCATAGACAAAAGGAGAGCTTTAAAAAAGCATTTTGAGGGGTGACTTGTCCACAAAAGATGCCTGTATCTTCTACCTACAATGCACACAATCTGATTCATACACTGAGGCCTGCAACATTTTCCCTATGAAGTCCCTTCAAAGCCTGGGACTGAACATAGAACTGTCCATTTGAGTTGGTCAGTATGTAGAGACCAGTGTCAGCAATCAGTGCCTTTGCACACAAGTGGGGAGTCTCTGTATCCTGGCAGGTTCACCATACAGTTGCCTGCCTCCCTCCTCCACTCTCCCCCAGAATAAAGCTGGGAAAATTGCACTTCAGTGGTTGCAGTGAAAAGGACCAATAAAACACACAGCTGATGATGAGGAAGATTAAATGGCAGCTGCCAGGTAGCTACCTCTTAGGAGCTTTGTGGCTCTTTTCCAGAAAAAGGAAGAAAGTAGGCAAGGAAGAAAGAATGGAAAGAAAGAAAGAAGTCCCATCACAGCTACAAGTTACCTCTCCTGAGAAACTTAAGAGGGACTGCTTGTGGGGCTGGGGGGTGGGATGCCACCAAAAGTACTTTAATAGGAGACCCTTCATACCTGAAGCTACCCCAGTGGAGGTAACCCATGGCCATTTCCAGGATTGCAGCTGCAAAAAGAGCAGCTGCAACTTTGAGTGCTTCATCAACAGACAGGCTAATCTGTACTCAGGAGGGTTGGCTGTGGGGATCAAATAATCCTGCAGGGTTGTTAACTGGAAACACTACATGATGTGGCCTACCATTTGTGAAATCTGAGCCAAATGACAGAGAACAGCTCTTTCGCCTTCCAGATACTGGCACCTGCATTTTCACAGCATGACACACCATTCTGTGGTACATGGCGGCCTTACTGGGACAGTAATATTTGTCCTATTTTTAAGAATTTGCATTTGAAACACAGAATTAATTGTCCTATGTCAAAGTGAGGGAAAAGGCACGAACCCAGCAGAGGGTGCATTCCAGCCATTCAGTCCTGGCTGCATGTTAGCATTCATTCTACACCTTTGCCCCTTGGTTGTAAATACTAATAAAGTGCATATTTCATAATCTTTGACAACTACAATGCTAATTTAAATGGAATGGGGGTAGAGATTGATGCTGAAGCATGTAGAAGTGGCAGTTTCTTTGTCTGTGCCTCCACCCCACTAAGGGAATCATTTTCTAGGCCTTAAGTCGATTTAATCATTTTGCATGGAGTCTGATCAGATTTGGGATCCCAAAGGGTAGCCTGAGAAGGCCCCAAACTTTATGTCCAACTAACCTGAGCTTGATTGTCTGGATACAATGCACACAGAACCCATATTGAAATTATATTTCTCATTATCAAAACCTAATGGTGGCCAGATAATAGATTACCCATCTAAGACAAAAAATCGTAAACTACTTACTTTGCTGAAGGGCCATCTTTTGTCCATCTTGTTGCATAAAGGAAAGGCAGGGGGAAAAGGGGTAAGAAATAAGGTACTTATTAGGATTTTTTAAAGTCCCAAACAGCATTAAAACATTGAAGAAAAGCATTTGTCATCCTTACTTCCTGTCCTGTGGATCCAAAGCACAGAAAATCACAGTGTTGACTGGGTAGTGTCTTCTAAAAAAGAGCCTGACAGAAAGAAAGAAAAAAAAAGAAAGCAAAAAATATGTTAAATGCTGAAACATTCCCTAAAATGCTGCATCTCAGGCACATTATGTGGTGGTGCATCTCCTGAGGGGAGTGGCAAATATAGCATCTCTTTTTGGGTGAAAGTATGTATTTAAACACAACATTTAGCATGATGTGATTAATTAAATAAAGTAACAACAGCCATGGGGTGGGATAAGGATAAGCCAGGATTGAAGCACACTTTCCACACTCACTTTCTCTGATTGTCCGTCAACGTGATGCCCTGCGCAGACACTTTGAAATGAACCACAGTAGAGATGGGAGGGGACTCTTGAGCCAGCGTTAAAGTCAGGGCCTTTTGAACAGCCTGGTAGCCCGTGAGTGACTCCATCTCAACAGAATTCAGGTACCAAACATTGCAGGCTGTTTATGAAATGAAGAAGGAAAGGGATTATCAAGCTGCGCTTGGTTTGGAGAAAAGATCTTATCTGGCTTCCATTTATAAATATCTTGCTCCCCAAAAGTGGAAGTGAAATATTAGGGGCTGAGATTCCTGAACCTTTCAGTTCCCATTTTCTTTGGACCACACTGCAGCACCAAGGTGGAAAATGAATGTCACAACAGATGAATGTCACAACTCCTGCTACAGCCAGGAGTCATACAGTTTGCTTCCTTCCTGCTGCAAGCTGCAGCCAGTGAAGTGGAGCAGGAGTGGAAATATGCAGTGAGATCACATCAAGCATATCTCCAGGGCATCCCTAGTAGGGAAAGGAGCAGCAGTAGGAGCTACAGGGATGCTCTCAGCAGGCAGCTGTGCATTTGTCCTCACATCTCATTCCAGGCAGTCAACACACTGTCAGATTAGCATCTCTGAAAGCCAGTCAGTAGCAAGGGAGCAACTGAGTGGCAAAACCTGAAAGCATGGATCCAGACGTTTTACCCCTACAGTGTTCACTGCAAGAACTTTAAACCTTCATGCATTTACAGCTGCATCTACAATTCCCCAGACTGGCACTTCAGCTTTGAATGAAACAGCCCTTAAAACAATCTTGCTCTTTTATACTTTTGAAGATGTACCATATTTTCTAGATCTTTTCAGTAAAAAGGAGAACTAAACATTTTTGTTTGGTTAGTTGGCAAGGAAAAGGTAACTTCTTACCCATAAGTAATAAGAATTGCTCTGTCACAAATACTCAGTTACTCTTTTGCCAATGTTATTTGGAAGACCAAAGGAGACTATCTAATTTGCAAAGGATCACAGATGCCCTTGGCTTGGGTCAAGCTAGAGAAGCCCCATGCATACACTATGCTGCCATATGGAAGATATTCTTCAACTCTTCAGAGTCTGCGATTCTCTGAAAACGGTATAAGCAAGTTACCGAGGAGTAGGCAGCTTAAATGAACTTACAGCTGACTCTCAAATGCAGCCTTTTATGCAGCCTGGCGCCCTCCAGCTCTGTTGGTCTGTGGCATGTTGGGAGTTGCAATCCAATACATCTGCAGGGCACCAGGCTGCTCAAGCATTACAAACACAGAACAATACAAACACAGGTGATGCAGCATACAAGTCTGTTACTTGGGTAACACAAACAAACACATGTCCTCTAAAGCCTTTGCCATATCTCATCATTCACAGTCAACAGTGTTCCCATAAACCTGGAGTGAGGGCAATATTTGCATAAAATTTACACTGAAAAAAGATATTGAAGCATTTTCTTTAAAAAAGATGTTTGAATGTCAAAACTTCTATATCATTTGCCAGTGCTTTGGATTTCATAGGAACATTCTCATTTTCAAATTTATTTTTTTCTAGATCCATGTAAAAAGCTTTAGAAAGTTTTAGGAAATTATTTAAAATGCAATTCAATGAATTTATGGAACTCTGTAATGATTCAGACTAGAACTGGCTACTTTTTAGCTATTTCATTTGTCCACTCATCCTGCAGATCTTGAGTTTAGACTTCAGTGCATCAACTACTTCTCACTGACCTGCCCCTTGCTTCAAAAGTTCTGCAGCTGAATTTGCAGCAGTCTGTGGGGAGGTTTCACAAATCTCTTCCAGCGGGTCTACAAACAGAATGAACACTCACATTTGCAACATATCAACCAAAACCACCAAAAGATGCTCTATTTCTTAAGATGACACCTTATTCGAGTTTCTGTAAGCACAGCATCGTTGAAAGAATGCACACCCTTATTAGAGAAGGTAAGGACATTCTAGCTCTTTTAATTCTCAATTATTTCCATGACGGAGTTAAGGATGTACTTGGAAACAATAAGATAAAGTGCTTAACTTGACTAGGATTTACTGCATTAAAAAAGCAAACAAAAACAGCTACCTTACAGAATCTGGCACTAAATGTTTAAAATTCAATGCTACATTCTTATTTACAAATTTTACTCTAATGGTTTCAGAGGCAAAGGAAAAACTAAGCAGTTAGCATGATATTTGTGTAACAATACATTACTACGATGTATAGAATTGGTAACTTGTTGTTTTTATGCATGCTTTTACGTGTCTATGTAAGAAGAGTTGTGCTGGATCAGACCCGGGGTCCCTCTAGGCCAGCCTTCTGTCCACACAGGGACCAACCAGCTGCCTGGGGGAATCCCACAAGCAGGAAGTGAGTGCAACTGCACCTTCCTGCCCATGTTCCCCAGCAATTAGGATACGTAGGCATACTGCCCCCCGATATGGGTGGTAGCAGAAAGCCATCAGGACTAGCAGCCATCAGTTTTCTTTTAAACCCACCCAACTAACTACATTTTGGGGAAGTGAATACCACACTCTCACTATGCACAGCATGCAGAAGAGCTTTTTATTTGTCCTGAAGTTCAACTATCAGAGGAGCGAGAGAAAAATTCTCCCTCTCCACTTTCTCCACACCATGGCATAATTCTGTAAGCTTCTGGGATGCTTTTCACACCAACAAAATTCAGATGCTTGAGCTGCAGATATTGTCCAAGTTACACCTAAAACCTAGAGCAGCAGCAACAAATATAACATTTAAAAGAGACGTCACAGACTTCTCTTTGGTGGTAGCATGAGCCTGACTCCTACCCAGCTTCACTACTGCCATGACAGAATACATCATCTCCAGTCAAATGCTGCTTCAACAATCCATCTTGCCTCCTCACTCTTGCGTCAGAGCTTTTGCTACTAACCACAGATGCAGGGAGCAGGCAGGGCAGGGGCTCCCACTCAAACAAATGCTTAGCTGTAGAAAGGTCCTGGCAACAGGCTCCACACAGTCACAGAGCCCCACGTCTGTGAAGCACAGAGACCACAAAAAGAACTGAAGTTTTTTGTTTTTTTTTTTAAGAAAAGCAGTGGCAAGACTGATCTGCAGGCTTTGGGTGGGTATATTAAAGTTTATAACAGGAAGCACTAGGCCATATTGTGCCACACACATCTTGCTGCCAATGTCTTGGCAGAAGTGTGTGATGGGGTCAATCAGTGCTATTTCGAGTGCTATCTACAGTGGCATCTGCAAGAACTTCAACAACTGCTAGAGAAGGAATGGTACTTCTGGAAGGAATTTGGTGTGGGTGTTTCAAATCCAGCCTCAGCAATCTACAAACATTAGTATCCTTAAGCTCAGTTTCAGTATAAGCTTTTATTTTCGTAGTTACACGAAACCTGCATTTTGGGCTATATTTGGGAATAAACACGATGTTTCTTCTCAAAGCATGCACCTGTTATCAAGCATACAAGTCACTGGAACTAATCATGTGTCCAAAATGATAACCACATGTGTTTGGAGTGACCAGATCATTTGATACCAGAAGGATAAAACCCATCAGCTCTTAAAACCCATCTTTATATCTAAATCCTACCAAGTACCACAGCAAATGCTAAGAGAATTTCCCATTTTCAAAGTGAACCATGAAAAATGGGACTTGAACTGAGAACTGTGAGTACCTCGATCTGGGATGAGTAGTTTGCAGGGCAATGCCAGAGGAGTAATGGAATGCTGATACACCAAAGCTGTCAAACTCCCTGTGGACAGAACAAAATGATACACCAAGTTAGCTTTTGTATTGTGTAAAAGGTTTGCAAGCAGTTCTTTACAAGCGCCTTCCTGATTTTTAGTTCTTGTGTTCTGTGTCTATAGCCGGTAACTTTTTTTTTTTTTTAACAGTAACACACCCACTTCCTTACTATGTGTCCTCTGATCTAGGGAAAGTCCTATCTAACAGCCAGTTACACCACAGAGCAGCTGACAACATCCCTTCTCATCTATCTTTTGCCACATAGAAACAAGCACCTCCAATTGCTCTTTTGCCTGATAAGTTGTGCCCAGCACTTTCTTGAAGTGGCTATGACCTGATCTTGCATGTGGCAGGAAGAGTAAGAACAATGTGATAGACTGAGTTGGGGGGGGGGGTCACCAGTTCTGAATTGTTCCTAACGTAAGAGAAACCCTGCAAGCTGAAAAGAGCACAGAACAAGCTGGCACCTTTCTTGCTACTGTGCCATTCCCCTGCCCAGCTTTCTCCTTGCAAGGAATTTCTGTTACATGGGAAGGGGGATTAAAATGGCAGTGTGCATTGGTCAAGTCCAGCCTACCACCTCATTCTTCTGCAAGCATAAATTCTCTGTGTCCCCAGGAAGGTGATTACATAGGATTAACGTGTCTTTGGAGCGATAGCCATATCTGACTCGCTCACAGGCTTCCTCAGCTAGCAGGTTAATCTATATACAGATCTTCTGGCTGGATCAGAATGTGGATCTGCCACTAAATGCGTTGTTTATTGCGTTGTTCTTGGAGTCATCCCCTACTAAACTATTTATTTACCAGATCTTGGTTTCAAAAGAGAATACAGATAAATACAAATACAGGTATGTACTGTATATCCAAGATATACCTTCTGGAAATTAAAACAATCAGTTCTCCATGCCCCCAATATCACAGCAAAGGTAACGAGCAGCAATTATAGAAAATGCCTCCTACCATACATTCAAGCAGTGGCAGGAGTATTCCATAAGACTAGAGTCTCAGCTTATACTTTCTTGTCTGTTTCTTAAGACATTGTTTCTTTTGGTTTTAGCTTGAACTGAAAAGAGTTTGTACAGATTCTTCTGCTTTTAAATATGCACGACGCCTCTCTGAGAAAGTTATACACTGACTTAGTTCACACATACCAACAATTCCTGGATTTTAAGCAAGCCCACTGCTTCCCATGTGCTGACCATCTGCTTTCAGTCAGCAACCCAGGGACCCATGCTTCATTAATCAGTTAAACACTGGGTTGTTTATAATGCATAGTTCTAGGTTCAAACATCACAATAACAACCCAAGAGCAACATCCTGGAGTGCTGACTGAAAGTGGGATCAATAAACAAATGGGAGCCAGCACTGAGACTTAGCTTATTGACACTATGTTGTTGTTAGTCACAAAGTCGCATCCAACCCATCACAACCCCATGGACAACATTCCTCCAGGCCTTCCTGTCCTCCACCATCCCCCGGAGTCCACTCAAGCTCTCACCGACTGCTTTAGTGCCTCCATCCAGCCACCTCATCCTCTGCCGTCCCCTTCTTCTTTTGCCATCTATTGTTCCCAGCACTAGGCTCTTCTCCAGGGAGTCTTTCCTTCTCATTACGTGGCCAAAGTATTTGAGTTTCATCTTCAGAATCTGGCCTTCTAAACAGCAGTCAGGGTTGATCACCTCTAAGACTGACTGATTTGATCTCCTTGCAGTCCAAGGGACTCGCAGAAATCTTCTCCAGAACCACAATTCAAAGGCTTCAGTTCTTCAACACTCAGCCTTCCTTATGGTCCAGCTTTCACAGCCATACATTGCAACTGGGAAAACCATAGCCTTGACTATACGCACGTTTGTTGGCAGGGTGATGTCTCTACTTTTTAGTATGCTGTCTAGATTTCCCATAACTTTCCTCCCAAGGAGCAAGTGTCTTTTAATTTCTTGGCTGCAGTCACCATCTGCGGTGATCTTGGAGCCCAGGAAAATAAAATCTGTCACTACCTCCATTTCTTCCCCATCTGTTTGCCAGGAAGTGAGAGGACTGGATGCCATGATCTTAGTTTTCTTAATGTTGAGTTTCAAGCCAACTTTTGCACTCTCCTCCTTCACCCGCATCAAGAGGCTCTTCAGTTCCTCGTCACTTTCTGCCATTAGTGTGGTAGCATCTGCATATGTAAGTTGTTGATATTTCTCCCGGCAATTTTAATTCCAACTTGCTATTCATCAACCCCACCTGTCTCATGATGTGCTCTGCATACAAGTTAAACAGGCAGGGTGACAGTATAGAGTCTTGCCGAACTCCTTTCTCAATTTTGAACCATTCAGTAGTTCCATGTGCAGTTCTCACTATTGCTTCTTGACCTACAGAATAGGTTTCTCAAGAGACAAGTAAGATGGTCTGGTACTTGCATCTCTTTAAGAACTTGTCACAATTTGTTGCAATCCACACAATCAAAGGCTTTAGGATAGTCAATGAAGCAGAAGGAGATGTTTTTCTGGAACTCCCTAGCTTTCTCCATGATCCAGCGTATGTTGGCAATTTGATCTCTAGATCCTCTGCCTCTTCGAAACCCTGCCTGTACTTCTGGTAGTTCTTGGTCCACATACTGCTGGAGCCTAGCTTGTAGGATCCTGAGCATAATTTTGCTAGCATGTGAAATGAGTGCAATGGTGCGGTAGTTTGAACATCCTTTGGCACTGCCCTTCTTTGGAATTGAAATGTAAACTGACCTTTTCCAATCCTGTGGCCACTGTTGAGTTTTCCAAGTTTGCTGGCATAGTGAGTGTAACACTTTTACTGCACCGTCTTTTAAGATTTTGAATAGCTCAGCTGGAATACTGTCACCTCCACTAGCTTTGTTTTTGCTCAGACTTCCTAAGGCCCATTTGACTTCACATTCCAGGATGTCTGGCTCAAGGTCAGTGACCACCCCATT